GTCGAGACTGCGGTGGCCGGGAGCGGCCACTGCACTCCAGTCTGGGCGACAGAGTGAGATTCCAACTCAAAAAAAAAAAGAAAAAAATCTTTAGAGAAAATATAATACCTGATCACGATGAAAGCCCTTAGTAAACTAGGAATAGAAAAACGATGCAATCTTCCAAACAGATTTATCTAAAGTCTACTTTACCAAATCTAATGATGAAATGCTAGAAGCCTTTTTTTTAAAGATCAGTGTCTCCGTTCACTCTGTATTGATAGAACACAGTATCTGTGGTGGGGTAATTTATGAAGAAAAAATGCTTATTTGGTTCATGATTCCACTGTCTGGAAAGTCATTCTGCATCTAGTGAAGGCCTCAGGCTGCTTCGACTCATGATGGACAGCTCAAGGGGAAAATGTGCAGAGATCCCATGGCAAGAGAGAGAGCCAGGGCAAGAGACTGAGCCAGGGCAAGAGACCAAGGAAGCCAGAAGTTTTCTAACAACCCACTCTGGCAGGAACTAATCCATTCCCACAAGAGAAAAGAACTCACGCATGGGCCCTCCAGCCCCCAACACAGGAGGTCATCTTTTCCTGAGGAATCTGTCCTCATGAAACAAACACCTTCCACTAGGCTCCTCCTGTAATACCATCATCCTGGGAATCAAATTTCAACATACGTTTTGCCAGGGACCAGCCACATCCAAACCATAGCAATTAGGAAGAAGAATAAAAACCATACTGGCCAGCTGTGGTGGCTCACACCTGTAATCCCAGCACTTTGGGAGGCTGAGACTGGAGGACTGCTTGAGGCTAGGAGTTTGAGACCAGCCTAGGCAACTTAGTGAGACCCATATCTACAAAAAAATTCAAAAATTAGCCAGGTGTTATGGGTGTGCCTGTAGTCCCATCGCTTTGGAGACTGAGGCAAGAGGATCACTTGAGTCTAGAAGGTCAAGGCTGCAGTGAGCTATGAACATGTTACTGTCCTCCAGCCTGAGTAACAAAGTGAGACCCTGTCTCAAAAAAACAAAGCAAAACAAAAACACAACCATATCAACATTTACGTTCACTGTAAATGGATAAATATTTTTTGTTAAAATGCAGATTGTCAGAATGGATTTTAAAAAACTATATGCTATTTTAAAAAGAACTTTAAACAGAAAGAAATAGGTTAAAAGTAAAAGGGTAGAAAGACATATGCAAACAGTAAAGGCAGTTATTTCTCATGAAGATACAGGATACCACTTTACACCACTAGAATGGCCCAAACCAAAGACGGACAATACTAAATGCAGGTAAGAACTTTCTCCCTCTTTTGTGTGTGTGTGTGTGTGTGTGTGTGGTGAGTGTGTAAACTGGTTCAATCACTTTGGAGAACTGTTCAGAAGTTTCTCATAAAGTAGAGCCCACATCTATCCTATGACCCAGAAATTTTACTTTTAGGTATTTACCCAAGATAAATGAAAAATGTATGTCCATAAAAAAAACTTACATACCGGTGCTTTTCATAATAAACAAACTCAGGAAACAAGAAAAACATCCAGGAATAGGAGAAGGGATCAATGAGTTGTGTATACCCATACAATGGAATACTACTCAGCAAGAAAAAGGAATGGATTACTCCTAATTACTCTACAATGTGGAGGAGATTTGAAGATATTTGTCCCAACTAATCATTTTTGAAAGAGAAAAAGAAATTCAGAGAGTACTACAAATTACCTCCATTTAAAGATTGAAGAAATTCAGATGAAATGATTCTATCTTTGTGTGGATTTCAAAGCTAGGATTTGAACTCAGTTCTCATGTCAAACCCCAAACTGCCACACCAAAGATTGAAGGAAAAAGGGAAAAGCTAAGCATCAATCTACCCTGGCACTGTGCAATAAAAATTTCAGGATTCGAACATCTAGCTTACTCTCTTTGAAACTGCAGTCACCAGGGAAAAAACAAGGGACCACAAGCCACGAACACTGCTACCAAACAAACAAAAGAACATTTCCCCTGAAAGTTTGTTGTTCTGTGGAGCGAATAACAAGTTAAACGTTTGCAGGCTTCCTATTGGAACTCTGAAAATGAATAGAGTAACGAGCTCCAATAAGAAGCCTGCAACCTTTGTTATTGGTTCAACGAACACACAGGTTTGTTGAATGACTGTCGGTTTCTCTGCAAAGAGCAACCGGGGCGGGAAAAAAATGCGACGTTATTCACCAAAGAGGAAGCTCACACACGGGAACCGGTCCTGTGAGAGGATCCCGAGGAGAGGCTGCCAAGGCTCGCGCGTGTGTCTGTCGGTGTGTGTCTGTGCATCGGGAATCTGGCTAGGGTCTGACTTCGGATTCCTAGGTCCTTGTGGGTGGGGCGAGGCCCTGCATCCCTCAAAGCCTCCAGAAGCTGCCGAGGGCGTCCCGCGGGGCGTGGGGCGACGCGGGGAGGGTTCCCTTTGAACAGCCGGGAGGCGCTGAGCGAGTGGGAAGAAGAAGCTCGGAGTCCCGGGTTCGCAGGAGGACGGAGAGGGCGACGGCCCCGGCCCGGGCTCTGGCCCCGGCC